GAAAAACCCCGTTTCCCCCAAAAAGAATTTAGTGCAAAAAAGTAGAGCCTTTGGGGGCCCTATAAAAAGGAAGGGCAAATGCAAAATTTGGGTCAGGGGAAATTACCTGACCGGGAGGCAAAAAACCCAAAACCTTTTTACGGGAATTTATGTATCACAGGGGGGCACAGTGGGGCGGGGGGCGGGGGGCCCCCCAGGGGTCGGGGAGGGCCAAAAGGGTAATTTTTTTGGTATAAAAGGGGAACGACAGGGCGGAAGGGTTTGGGTTTTAGAAGTGTCCCTGTTTTGGGGATGGGTATGAAGTTAAAGAGGAGAATTAAAAACTGATGAAGAACAGGGGCAAGGGACTTCAAAAAAAAGAAACCGGGGCAAGATGGGAAAAAAACCCGGTCCTCAAAAATTTTGGCCCCCTTTTTCGGGAAATTTTTTCCGGCAAAATTTCAAAGCATGAAAATGGGGGAAAGGGGACTGAAACCCCCCGACAGAAAATAGGCTAGTGGCCAAAAAACTGCAAACCCACTTTAAGGAGAAAAATCTTGGGGTGAGTATAAAAACCGAGCAAGTCTCCGGAAAACAAAACCCTCCAAACGATTAAAATGCTGGGAATATGGGGGCCCGGCAAATCTGAGAACAGCATTCCGATACCTTAATTTAAAGGGAAAAAAAATTAAGACACTGTAAAAACCGTGTATGTCAGGGCCCCTACTGGGGTATGCAGCACCTGTTTTGGGAACCCCCACTTTATAAAGACCCTCAAAAACAGAAAAAGTTTCAAAGGTTTGCGACAAGGTTAGTTCCAGAAACTAAGGGGAATGTCCTATGAAGAAAAATTAAAGGGGAAAACGGCGGGACGACACTGGAGGAAAAGGACGTCCCGGGGAGACATGATAACGCATTTTAAAAAACTGCTGGATTTGCAAGGTTTGGCAAAAACTTGGATGTTCCAGGGAGGGGACCCCGAAAAAAAGAGGCCACCCAATTTGGAAAATTTAAAACACAAATGAAATCAAGGAAAGTAGGAATTTTTTTCTTCAGTCCTTTGGTTGTAAGGCAAATGGGAAAAGCCTAGAAAAAAGCCCAGTGGGGGCAGGAAAAACCCTAACCCTTTTTTAAGACGAGGTTTGATAAAGCTCCTGGGCGGGGAGAGAGAGGGCCCCCGTACAACCGGTGAAGAGGGGGGGGCCCGGAGCTAAGACTCGACCCCGGGAAACCACAAATAGGTGAGAAAAAACACACAAACACCCCCACACACCCCCCAAAAAACACACACCACACATACACACACAAAACACACACACACACACACACACACACACACACCCCACTTCCCCACCCCACACACCCACACACACCCCACACACACACACACACTCACACACACACACCACACACACAACACCCACACACACACCCCACACACACAACACATTAAAAACCACACACACACCCACCCCACACACACACACACACACACTCCCCCACACACACACAAAACACACAACACACACACACACACACACACAAACACACACAACAACACACACACACACAACACACACAAACACCCCCCCCCCCCCCCCCCCCCCCCCCCCCCCCCCCCCCCCCCCCCCCCCCCCCCCCCCCCCCACCCCCCCCCCCCCCCCCCCCCCCCCCCCCCCCCCCCCCCCCCCCCCCACACACACACAACACACACACACACACACACACACCACACACACAAAACACCACACACACACACAACACACAACACACACCCAACACACACACACACACCACACACACACACCACACACAAAAACACACACACCCAACACACACACACACACACACATAAAACACACACCAAAACACACACACACCCCAACCCCACACACTAAACACACACACACAACACAACAACACACACTTTACACACACACCCCAAACACCACACACACACACACACACACACACAAAACACAACACACAAACACACACACACACCCCATACACACACACACACACACCCCACCCACCACCCCAAATTTTCCACAAACAACAACCAAACCTTTTTAAAAAGAAAAAAAAAATTAAAACCACAACACAACACAAAACCACACACAACCTTCCCCAAACCCCAAAAAAAAAACCCCCAAAACAAACAAAATAAACAACACACCACAACACAAAAGGGGGAAATTTGGGGCCCTGGCCCCCTTTTTGGAAATTGGGGGGGAAAACCCACATAAACGAAAAATAAACTCAGAAATGGTCCCGGGGTTTTTTTTTCGCAATGATTGGGGTTTATAATAATAAAAGGGGGTTTTAATCGGAAAAAATCAAGGCAGGCCCCACTGGGGAATGCAGGGACAACCTTTTGGTCCCCAAATGGTCCAAATCCCGGGCATGAAATTGGGAAAAAGGGGAAAGGTTTTCCAAAAAGAAAACCCCCATAGGGTTTTAGAAGGAAGATTTGGGGGAACCCTCTGAAAAGGGGAAAAAAATCGGGGGTTTATTAAAATAGAAATCTTTCAGGGCAATAAACAAAACTTTTTCCCGAAGGGCACGGCAAAACCTTGGAATTAAAACTTGAAAACCCAAAAAAGGGTTTTTGGGGTATTTCTTCGGCCCCTTGGGGTATCAAAATGTTGGAAACCTCAAAAGATGAAAATTTGGGGGGGAAACCAAAAAGGGTTTTTGCAAATGAATAAAACCCAGGGGGCTAGGGGGGAAGGGGGTTTCAAAGAAAGGTTGGGGGGGGCGGCCTGGGGGCGGCATTGGGGGGCCGGGGGGTGGGGGAGGGGGGGCCCGGTTAAACCCACCAAAAAAACTGGGGAGGGTTTGTAAGGGTGGGGAAAAGAACCAGGAGGCCCCCCCCAAGATGGGGTAACCCCAAAACCCCCCCCAATTCCCCAATTTGGAAAAACCGAGGTCCCAAAGGGTTTGGAAATAAATTTTCTTGGCTAGAAAATAAATTTTTGCGTGGGGAAAAGTGGAAAGGGTTTTTAAAATATGGGGCTGGGAACCCTTAACAATGTTTTTAAGGGCGAGGGAAAAAATTCTGGGGCAGGGGGAAGGGGCTTTGCAAATGGGGGGGGGAAAAGGGGTTACCGAGCAAAAACAAATAGGGGAAAAATTTAGACAAAAAAAAAACCCCCCAAAGAGCTCAAGTGCAAAGGGCCTTTGGGTTGGGGTTTTCATGAAGGGGCCAAGGGGGGGAGCCCCGGGGGGGGAAAAAAAAAAAGGAAAAAGGGGGAAAAAAAAAAAAAAAAAAAAAAAAAAAAAAATTTGTAATGGGTTTTAAACAAAATTTTCCCCCCAAAAACAATTAAAGGAACATGGGAAGGGAAAGATAAAATTAACCCTTTAAAGACGGCCCCCCCCGGAAAATCCCGCAAAAGGCTCTGGGGGTTTCTTGGGAAGGTTCAACCCCCCAAACCCCGGGCCCGGGGGGGGAATATCTTGGTTATGAAAAATAAACCCAATTCTTTCCCCCCAAAAGGAAATTTTCTAACACACTGGTAAACCCAAAGGAAAGGGAAATTATTTTTGTAAAGCTCATGGGCAGGGGAGAGAAGGAGCTAGTAGCAATCAGTGAAGAGGCGGGGCCAGGAGCTATGACTCGACCCCTGCAAACACAAATAGGTGAGTACAAATAGGTGAGTACACACAAACACACACACACAACAATGCATCTATAGTGAACATTGTGTCAGCTGTAAGAAAGATGTGTGTGAGCAGTAGAGGGTGTGCGCAGGGGGTGTGAGCAGGGGAGGGTGTTAGCAGGGGAGGGTATTAACAGGTTAGGGTGTGAGCAAGTTAGGGTGTGAGCAGGGAAGGGTGCTAGCAATGGGGGGGGGTGTAAAGGATTTAAGAGCATTCTACGACAAGCAAGTTAAAGGACTGTAGAAAGATACTTATCTTAAATGACGGCTCAGAGTCCCCGCAGCCGCCTCTGGGTCGTTGTCTTGAGAGGCTGTCAACGCTCCAGCCCTGGGCTGTGGGAATTCTAGTAATGAGTAAACAATTTCCCCAAAAGAGCGTATATTACAGCACTTCACTGGTAATGCTGAATAGATGGAAACTTACGTTTTGTGCTCAATGGCCCTCCAATAACGGGTTATATTAGTAAATCCAGACAAGATTTGAACTGACTAGACTTACTTGGGTATTTGTATCAGACCCGCAAGTTTCCCTGGCTTCTGGTAGGGAAAGTAACCCGGTATCAGTGTCTTGACTGAAGTATCAGTGTCTCAAGGTTGCAGTGTTACTAACACAAGATTGTTCGTAACACACTGTTACACTACACCAGGAACAAGATTAGTTTTTGTTTCACGGTATTTCACAACAGGAAGACCTGTCCCACTTCACTGTATCATTAGTTCTACCGCGAACTGTTGAGATTGTCACTGAGAAACAAAAACACGCGGATCACTATTCTTCTTTGTTCTCCCCGCGTGCAAACACGTATCCCCGTCCTATCCTGAAGTCGGTCTACCCTGCGGCGCCCTCAGCCTTCGCTCCGCCTTCTCACAAAGGATTTACTGAGTTCAGCTATATTACTCTTCCTTGCTAGACATCGTCACAGTGCTCAATACAAGACAACAGATCTTCTGGTATATAACTATCGTTGACAATTCATTATTATCCCACACCGTGAGTAAATTGATGCAGGGCTTTTCTTAATTTTCCTCCCAAGGTAAAGAGAGTCCTTTTTCTCAATTCTCTGTCACTCGTGTTACACTAACACTACTCTGCAGAGTTGGCGTGACTTATGACGTTCTTAGCCACATACAGAAACAATTAAACTGTTGACCAGAAAGCAAGAGAGTCTAAGAGCCCCTCCTCTGGAGGGCTGAGTCTCTCAGGGGGCTGAAGGGGCTGAGAGGGCTGAAATCCCCTTTCTGGACAAATTTTCTCCACAGGGTGTGAGCAGGGGAGGGATGTGAGTAGGGGAGGGTGTGAGAAGGGGAGGATGTGAGCAGGGGAGGGTGTAAGCAGGGGAGGGTGTGAGCAGGGGAGGGCCACCGTGAACAGCAGATAACCGAACCCTCCAATATGGGTGTCGTATTGTGCTTCAAAATCTATTCATAACATTCACACCACACATTACTCTTAAACATGACATCTCTGCCTCCAGCCTCCTCCTTGCTGCATCATTTAAAGTTTATGCCTCACACCCATATAAAAGTGTGGGTATTTCAGGTTTTTTTTTTCAACATAGATAAACTTTTTTTTTTCAACAGGTATCTACCTTTTTGAGCAAGGAGCTAGTAACCCCTTCTCCTGTATATATTACTAAATGTAAAAGGAGAAACTTTCGTTTTTCCTTTTGGGCCACCCTGCCTCGGTGGGATACGGCCGGTGTGTTGAAAGAAAGAAAGATCTACCTTTTTTTTTTTCCCCATGTCTATTCTATGCTTTACCTCTTCTTTCAAAAATCAGTCTGCCAATATGTCTACTCCCATATATCTATATACATTTGCTGCTTTCACACTCCCTCCACTCTGATATCCAGTCTCAGATTGCTTGTAGTTCTTGTTACTCTCATCACCTTGCACTTTTTTATGTTCACTTTTAATTTCCTTCTTTTATATCACCCTTTCAAATTGATCCACCAACCTTTGAAGCTTCTCTTCAGAATTTCCCTAAAATCTGTGCAATAGGTAAAGAGCATCAGTGATAACTCACACTTTGTATCAGATTCACTGTCTTTTAATCCTACACCTTTCTTCCCAACACACTAGTATTCGCTGCTTATACGACCCCATCCATAAATATGTTAAACAATCATTGTGACATCACACATTGCTAAGACCTTCTTTTACTTTTATAGTACATGTAATTATTAAGAGTTTTAGAAAAATAAAATAGGGATAACAGATGCATGGTTTTGAATGCATTAGATGTATTTGATATTTATATTCAGTCTGCACCTTTCAAGGCAAGTGAAATTGCTGACCTAGAAAATGTACAGAGAACTTTCACGGCGCGCATAACGGAGATAAAACACCTCAATTACTGGGAGCGCTTGAGGTTCCTGAACCTGTATTCCCTGGAACGCAGGCGGGAGAGATACATGATTATATACACCTGGGAAATCCTAGAGGGACTAGTACCGAACTTGCACATGAAAATCACTCACTACGAAAGCAAAAGACTTGGCAGACGATGCAACATCCCCCCAATGAAAAGCAGGGGTGTCACTAGCACGTTAAGAGACCATACAATAAGTGTCAGGGGCCCGAGACTGTTCAACTGCCTCCCAGCATACATAAGGGGGATTACCAACAGACCCCTGGCAGTCTTCAAGCTGGCACTGGACAAGCACCTAAAGTCCGTTCCTGATCAGCCGGGCTGTGGCTCGTACGTTGGTTTGCGTGCAGCCAGCAGTAACAGCCTGGTTGATCAGGCTCTGATCCACCAGGAGGCCTGGTCACAGACCGGGCCGCGGGGGCATTGACCCCCGGAACTCTCTCCAGGTGAGCAGGGGAGGGTGTGAGCAGGGGAGGGTGTGAGTAGGGGGGAGAGCAGAGGAAGGTGTTAGCGGGGGAGGGTATTAACAGGTTAGGGTGCGAGCAGATTAGGGTGTGAGCAGGGAAGGGTACTAGCAGGGAGGGTGTGAGCAGGGGAGGGTATAAACAGGGGAGGGTGTAAGCAGGGGAGGGTATAAGCAGGGGAGGGTGTGAGCAGGGGAGAGAGGAGGGTTATAAACAGGTAATAGAACCACCAACAACACAGACACAACCACCACTACCACAACACCACCACAATCACTCCACCCACCAATACCACCACCATCTCTACCACCTCCACTACCACCATCACCAACCCAACCACCAATACCACACCATCTCTACCACCTCCACTACCACCTCTCACCAACCCAACCACCAATACCACCACCATCTCTACCACCTCTACTACCACCATCACCAACACAACCACCAATACCACCACCATCTCTACCACCTCCACTACCACCATCACCACACAACCACCAATACCACCACCATCTCTACCACCTCCACTACCACCATCACCAACCCAACCACCAATACCACCACCATCTCTACCACCTCCACTACCACCATCACCAACCCAACCACCAATACCACCACCATCTCTACCACCTCTACTACCACCATCACCAACACAACCACCAATACCACCACCATCTCTACCACCTCCACTACCACCATCACCAACACAACCACCAATACCACCACCATCTCTACCACCTCCACTACCACCATCACCAACACAACCACCAATACCACCACCATCTCTACCACCTCCACTACCACCATCACCATCACAATCACCAATACCACCACCATCTCTACCACCTCCACTACCACCATCACCAACACACCCACCAATACCACCACCATCTCTACCACCTCCACTACCACCATCACCAACACAACCACCAATACCACCACCATCTCTACCACCTCCACTACCACCATCACCATCACAATCACCAATACCACCACCATCTCTACCACCTCCACTACCACCATCACCAACACAACCACCAATACCACCACCATCTCTACCACCTCCACTACCACCATCTCTACCACCTCCACTACCACCATCACCAACACAACCACCAATACCACCATCATCTCTACCACCCTCTATACCACCATCACCAACACAACCACCAATACCACTACCATCTCTACCACCTCCACTACCACCATCATCAACACAACCACCAATACCACCACCATCTCTACCACCTCTACTACCACCATCACCAGCACAACCACCAATACCACCACCATCTCTACCACCTCCACTACCACCATCACCAACACTACCACCAATTCCACCAGCATCTCTACCACCTCCACTACCGCCATCTCTACCACCTCCACTACCACCATCACCAACACAACCACCAATACCACCATCATCTCTACCACCTCTTCTACCACCATCACCAACACAACCACCAATACGCAGTTGAAAGGTCACACACACATGAGCTACTAAGTCTCTGCGAATAACACACCTTAAACCAGCAGATAGTGGAGCCAACAAGACTAGAAAACACACTTGACCTTATCTTCACAAATAATTAGGACCTTATAAGAGACAAGAATATCAAAAACACCTAATTCCGATCACAACCTAATCGAAGTCCAGACGTACATGCATAGGGGACCTGATCAGCAGAATGCATGTACCTGTGAAGGTGTCTTAACAAACTACAACTTCAACAACAAGAACATCAACTGGGACCAGGTAAACCATGTCCTAAATGAAACATGTTGGGAAGATATCTTAAATGACATGGATCCAAACCAGTGCCTTGAAAGGATCAACTTCCTGGCAGCTGAAGCATGTTCTAGGCATATTCCCCTAAGAAAGAAGAAGAGCAGGAGTAAACTGGAGAGAGAAAGACGCTCCCTCTACAGAAGACGACGAACAGTCACTGAGCTCCTCGGGAGTGTTAGAATATCTGATACACAAAAGGAGGCACTGACCAGGGAAGTGGAAACTATCGAACTTACAAGTTAAATGATTCTTACAGGAACCAGGAGAGACAGGAGGAGCTTAAAGCTATTAGTGAAATTGAAAGAAATTCGAAATATTTCTTTTCATATGCCAAAAACAAGGCAAATACCACATCTAGTATCGGGCCCTTACTCAGACAGGATGGGACTTACACAGATGACAACAAGGAAATGAGTGAAATACTGAAATCCCAGTACGACTCTGTGTTTAGTGAGCCACTAATCAGTCTGAGGATCGACGACCCAAATGATTTCTTCATGAATGAGTCTCAAAACTCCATAAATGTATGCCAGATTTCCGACATTACCCTAATTCCGATAGACTTCGAAAAAACCATTGACAACATGCCCATGCACTCAGCTCCGGGCCCAGACTCGTGGAACTCTGTATTCATTAAGAACTGCAAGAAACCCCTCTCGCGTGCCCTAAGTACACTATGGAGGAGGAGCTTGGACATGGGTGAAATTCCACAGTCACTTAAAACAACGAATATAGCCCCACTCCATAAGGGTGGCAGCAAAACATTAGCTAAGAACTATAGACCAATAGGTCTGACGTCCCACATCATAAAAATCTTTGAAAGAGTGCTAAGAAGCAGGATTGCAAATCACCTGGATTCCCAAAATCTGCACAATCCAGGGCAACATGGGTTCAGGGCAGGTCGCTCCTACCTCTCACAACTACTGGATCACTATGATATGGCCTTGGATGCACTGGAAGAAAATCAGAATGCAGATGTAATATACACAGACTTTGCAAAAGCATTTGACAAATGTGATCATGGCATAATAGCGCACAAAATACTTGCTAAAGGAATAATTGGGAAAGTGGGGAGATGGATCTTCAACCTCCTAACAAATCGAACACAATGAGTAGTGGTCAACAGAGTTAAATCGGAGGCTGCAATAGTGAAGAGCTCTGTTCCACAAGGCATAGAACTCGCCCCATCTTATTCCTCATCCTCATATCAGACATAGACGGAGATATACACCACAGCACCGTATCATCCTTTGCGGATGATACTAGGATCTGCATGAAGCTGTCATCTGCTGAGGACGCGGTTAAACTCCAAGAAAATATAAACAAAGTTTTCCAGTGGGCAACGGAAAACAAAATGATGTTCAATGAGGACAAATTCCCAAATAAATCGTTAGGAAAACTGGAGGAGATAATAACTAGAACAGAGTATACTACTGACTCCGGCCATACAATAGAGCGGAAAAATAATGTAAGGGATATGGGAGTAGTAATGTCTGAGGATCTCACTTTCAAGGATCACAACAGTGCCACGATCACAAGTGCAAAGAAAATGATGGGGATGGATATGAGAACTTTCAAAACGGAGATGCAAACCCAAAGGACCTTTCAAATACTTGTTCTCTCTAGGCTGTACTTTTAAACATTTTCCATTAAAAGCAGGTAAAATTTGAGTCAGAGAGTGTACAAAACCTTTATTGCAGAATAAGTTGTGTCAAGCACCAAAATACTGGAATGTTTGGGAACACTTGACTTTACTCTTTGAAACGCAGGGGGGAGGATAATCATAACTACATTTGGGGAAAATCGTGGAAGGAATGGTTCCAAATCTGCCACAAAAACACCCCCTACAAAAGCAAAAGACGGGGCAGGCGATGCAAATGTCCCCAATTAGAATGGGGGGCTCCATTGGTACACTAAGAGAAAACACCATAATGCCCCGGGGCCCAAACTCCCTCAACAGCCTCCCATCAAGCTTTGGGGGTTTTACCAAAAAACCCCCTGGTTTCCTTCAAGAAGAGCTGGACGATAAAAATCTGGGGATCAGCCGCGCGGGGCTGTAGTTGGACTGCTGGGGCCACGTAACAGCTAGTTGATAGGCCCTGATCCACCGGGGGCCTGGTCATGGGCCCGGGGCCCCGGGGGGGTTGATCCCCGATAACCTCCAGGTAACCCCATCTCTACCACCTCCACTACCCCATCACCAAAACAACCCCCAAAACCAGCATCATCTTACACCTCTACTACCACCCCATCAACACAAAACCCCCAATCCCCCACCATCTTACCACCCCACTACCACCATTACCAAAACAACCACCAAAACCACCCCCATCTCACCACCTCCACTACCACCCCAAAACTACCCCCAAACCACCACCATCTTACCACCTCCACTACCACCATCTTAACACACCACTAATACCACCACCATCTCTACAACCCCCACCCCCATCACCCAACAATCACCCAAATCACCCCCATCTCTACCACCCCCCTACCCCATCACCAACACAACCACCAATACCACCCCATCTCTACCACCTCCACTACCACCAATACCACCACCATCTCTACCACCTCCACTACCACCATCACCAACGCAGTCACCAATATAAACAGCCATACGACGTATTTCCTACCAGTGCGTGATACAAACAGTCCAGGCTAGACTCTGACACCACTAAAGAAGATTCTAACACCATTAAAGAAGATTCTAGCACCATTAAAGAAGATTCTAACACCATTAAAGTAGATTCTAACACCATTAGAGAAGATTCTAACACCATTAAAGAAGATTCTAACACCATTAAAGGCAATTCTAACACCATTAAAGAAGATTCTAACATCTTTAAAGATTATTCTAACACCATTAAAGAAGATTCTAACACCTTTAAAGAAGATTCTAACACCTTTAAACATGATTCTAACACCATTAAAGAAGACTTTAAAACCAGTAACCCACCAAAGGACAACCCACACCCCACAACCCACACCCCACAACCAACACCCCACAACCAACACCCCACAACCAAC